TGAAACATTAAACGAAAAGTTCCAAAGTGTTTATACAAAATGAAATCTTCAGGGAACCAGATCCAATAAGAATTCCAGAGAACAACATAGAGCACATAGAGGTGTCTAGAGACGAAGTGGAAAAAATGCTCAAGGAGCTAAATAAGAACAAAGCAGTTGGTCCAGATGGAGTTTCACCATGGGTTCTGAGAGAATGTGCATCTGAGCTCAGCATTTCACTTCAACTGATTTTTCAGGCATCCCTGTTTACAGGAGTTGTAGCTGATGTGTGGAAAAAGGCTAACATAGTTCCAATCTACAAAAGTGGAAGCAGGGAAGACCCCCCTTAATTATAGACCGGTATCATTGACAAGTGTAATAGTCAAAATATTGGAAAAAATAATTAAAACTAAATGGGTAGAACACCTGGAGAGAAATGATATAATATCAGACAGTATGGTTTTCTATCTGGAAGATCCTGTGTATCGAATTTACTCAGTTTCTATGATCGAGCAACAGAGATATTACAGGAAAGAGATGGTTGGGTTGACTGCATCTATCTGGACCTAAAAAAGGCTTTTGACAGAGTTCCCCATAAGAGGTTGTTCTGGAAACTGGAAAATATTGGAGGGGTGACAGGTAAGCTTCTAACATGAATGAAAAATTGTCTGACTGATAGAAAAATGAGGGCAGTGATCAGAGGCAATGTATCAGAATAGAGAAATGTCACAAGTGGAGTACCACAGGGTTCAGTTCTTGCACCAGTGATGTTTATTGTCTACATAAATGATTTACCAGTTGGTATACAGAATTATATGAACATGTTTGCTGATGATGCTAAGATAATAGGAAGGATAAGAAACTTAGATGATTGTTATGCCCTTCAAGATGACCTGGACAAAATAAGTATATGGAGCACCACTTGGCAAATGGAATTTAATGTTAATAAATGCCATGTTATGGAATGTGGAATAGGAAAACATAGACCTCACACAACCTATATATTATGTGAAATTTTTAAAGAATTCTGATAAAGAAAGAGATCTAGGGGTGGTTCTAGATATATATCACTATCACCTGAGGTCCACATAAAGAATATTGTGCGAGGAGCCTATGCCACGCTTTCTAACTTTAGAATTGCTTTTAAATACATGGATGGCGATATACTATAGAAATTGTTCGACTTTTGTTAGGCCAAAGCTAGAATATGGAGCGGTTGTGTGGTGCCCATATCTTAAGAAGCACATCAACAAACTGGAAAAGGTGCAAAGACATGCTACTAAGTGGCTCTCAGAACTGAAGGGCAAGAGCTACGAGAAGAGATTAGAGGCATTAAATATGCCAAAACTAGAAGACAGAAGAAAAAGAGGTGATATGATTACTACATACAAAATAGTAACAGGAATTGATAAAATCGATAGGGAAGATTTCCTGAGACCTGGAACTTCAAGAACAAGAGGTCATAGATTTAAACTAGCTAAACACAGATGCCGAAGAAATATAAGAAAATTCACTTTCGCAAACAGAGTGGTAGACGGTTGGAACAAGTTAGGTGAGAAGGTGGTGGAGGCCAAGACCATCAGTAGTTTCAAAGTGTTATATGACAAAGAGTGCTGGGAAGACGGGACACCACGAGCGTAGCTTTCATCCTGTAACTACACTTAGGTAATTACACTTAGGTAATTACAGACACACACACACACACAGACACAGACAGTGGCACCTCAACTTACGATTGCCCCTACTTACGATAATTTCGAGTTACAATGTAAATTTCATCGAAAAATGTGACTCGACATCCGATGGTGTCGTCGACTAATGATATTTGTTGGTACACGTTCGGGTCAACCGAGCGCGTGGTTCCCGGTCACACGGTCCGACCTGCCTCAGTTTACTACAGCTGCCCGCTTAGTGACGATCGCGCCTATAAGAAATTCCGCATTTGTGGTGATTTTTTGCATTTTGAACATTAAAGTAATTATTATATAATATGCCATGAGTCCCAGGAAAGTCAGTGATAAGGCTCAACATATGAAAACCCATGTAAGGATGACCATAGAGCAGAAACAAGAGTACAGAATGTCTCTTCCTCAACAATTAAGAAAATGTGTGCAGCATGGGAAGAATTGCAAACCTTTGCTGAAACGACTCGCCCAAATCAAGCTGCAGTAGGCCGTTGCCTTAACCTATTCAATGACACTGTGATGCATCATTACAGACAAATGTTAAAACGAAGGGAAAAACAAATGTCTCTTGACAAATTTGTAGTGAGACAAACAACCACTGAACCACAACCAGGTCCTAGTGGTATTCCGGCAAAACGTAGGAGACAGAGTACCCCAGAGAAAACATCACTGCCTGATGTGATAATGGAAGGGGACTCCCCTTCCAAACAGTAACAACTCTCCTCCTCCCAACTCATCACCATCTTCCATACGCCATCAAGAGCCCTCCATAAAGGTAAGATCAACTTAGGTACTGTATTGTAGTTAGAAAAAACATTGTATTCAGTATAAAATGTATTTGTATGTTAATATTTTGGAGGGTGGGGAACGGATTAATTCAATTCCCTTTATTTCTTATGGGAAAAATCGCTTCGACTTACGATATTTCGAGTTACGATCCGTCTCTGGGAACGGATTAGCATCGTAAGTCGAGGCCCCATTGTACATTTACTATTTTTCTAGTGGTTTGACTATCACGTTTGTTAATAACATGGGTCTATAATTTAGAGGTTCCTCTCGACCACCATTCAGTGCAGAACTATTGGTGCTCTGGAATGCTATCTCATGCCTGCTGAGTTTGTTGGGGCCAGAGTTGTTCACCTTTAACCCATGTATGGTGCCGGGCTATTTAGCATTTGTCACCCACAGGCGCATACCAAAAAAAAAATATATATATTTTTTCTTCTAAACCTGTTAATTTATGTTCACTGATCATGGGAAAAATAATAATAAAATCGTAAGTGGCATATATTTCCCGCTATAGGACGGGGAAGTCTGGCAAAAAACAGGTGCTGACTCAGCGTGCGTCCCAAACGGTCTGTTGCTCGCCAGCTGTCAGGCAGGAGTGGCCACAAAGAGATAATTACCTAATTATTTCAATGTCCGATTGATTTTTCGTAGTTTTTTGCTGTAATATTATTCAGTAGTGTGTAGTGTGATATATAATAAAATGAGTGAATCATTGCTGTACTCAAAAATATGGTGTGCATATTGATTCAATTATGTTCATCAAACAGTAAACAAATACTTTGTTGGTTATTACACTACTGTATATACACAGGTTATATATAAGTATCTGCATGTTTTGTTCACCATAACGAACCACTAAGTTGGTATTACGAGTCAAAAAGTAGCGAGGAGTGACGGCCACACACCAGCCAGCCACTCGCTGCCACTCACTGCCACTCACTCCCTCAACACCTCACTCGCCCACATTCTCCTCCCACCATACTGTTTTTGCTTTTATATACAGACACATTATATATAAGTATTTACATGTTTTGTTCACCATAACTGTACATCTAAGCTTGTATGGTGAGTAAATGCACAAAGACGTAGCTACTCACACAGTCAGCTGGTGGCGGCCGCCCTCAAGGCCAGACGCACTAATATTTCTCCTCCAACAATACTGTTTGTGGTGTCAACAATACTGTTTGTGGTGTTATTACGCTATACACACACATTATATATAAGTATCTACCTGTTTTATTCACCATACTTGTACAAGTAAGCTAGTATGGTGCCCAAAGACCATAGTGGTCACCAGTAAACAACGTAAGTTGTGCAGACGACGCACCTCTCTCACCAAAATGGCGGCTCCCAGCCTACTCCTATTGCTGTTATTACACTCTATACACACGTTATATATAAGTATATACATTTGTGTTCACCATAGCAAACCACTAAGCTGGTATGGTGAGTGCAGTCAATAAAAGGTGGCCACACACAGTCAGAAGAAAACGCCACAACCCTCCCTCCCACAGCATTACTCTTCCCTCCATAGAGCACAGCGCTAAATATCACCACAATCCTGCTATTATCAAAATCCTGGTCAGTTTTATCGCAGTCAGGGGTCATCTGTAATAATATCATCGTTAAATAATAGCAAGAACATTATATTATGGCATTTTTAGGCGATGCTGTGGTCACAAGCTGAACCGCAGTGCTGTGAGCTCATGCTGTGTGTGTCAGGCTTGGTAGCTCACTCAATACTGAGGCCCCTCACACCCGGGAATTTGGCCCACGATTTAAAAAAAAAAATGGCGTCTGTTTACAAGAGCCCTGATAAAGGTGTGGTGAACCCTGTGTATCCGCGGGCTGTTTAAATCTTGCGCGGTACTCCAAAACAACATATGATGCAGAGCGCAAGTTACTGCAAGTCACTCATCATATGATGTCTTGCGCAACTAAAGGGTTAATAAACTGTCATTTGCCAGGCTTTATATTTATTTATTTATTAAAGTAGGGGTTTTTGTTTTTTGAGAGTTTATAATCAGTTCTCCTCAGTTTTGTGTGTGTCTTAGATCCTCAAGATCTCATTGCTTGGTTGAGAGAGGCAGAGTCAGGATCTGGCTTTTCATATATTAGTGTGGGTCTCAAAGCCTGACATGATCCTAAGGCTTAGTGGTACCAGCATATAAGTAACGGGAAGGGACTGAAAGCCTTTCAGAAAAAAGACTGTTTCCTTACATGCTTAATTTTTTCAAATACCGGTGCTGTACATGAATGTCGGTTTGAATTCTGATAACTTGACCTAGTTTATCTTTCATTAGCATGGAAAAATTGTATGAAACTTAGACAAATTCATGGTTAAAGGAAAACTTCACTGTTGCGACTATTTTTTATTTGTTTGCATCTGCTGTTCTTGATAACAAATTATATTTTAAATATATTACTGCATGATATATAAATATGCTAGTGTTGAGTGATAATTTATCTTTAGATGTTTGTATTTTATTATTATATATATTATTTTCTTTTCAGTTGATGGTTGCTTTGATATTAACAAGCTTGCAGGTATATAATATATGCTGTATTATCATAAATTTAATGTAGACTTGGGATATTCCATTATCATTAGGTATAGTGAACAGATGCATAATATGGCACTGGACCTTTCAATGTTCTTATTTGTATATTTGTTTATCTACTTGTGTGTGTCTCTTGATGCATTGTTACCCATTGCCCCATTCTTTCTGGAGGGCTAAACAGTGGCTCCCTGAAGCTAGCTTGCTCAGAGGTTCCCTCAAATAAGTCACATCAGCCTTAGGAGTCTCATGTCCTGTTGCTGATGTACATGAACACAGACCTCCCCAAGTCATCAGCATTATCAAGTCCCATTTCTTTTAACATAAGTGAAGTCCATCCTTTGGACTATGTCCTTTATTCTTTTGGTTCCTCCTGCAGGATCTGGATCTTGCTTGCCATGTGGACCCAATCTTCTTCAAGTTTGGGTCAGCTTCCACCTTTTGGCTATGGTACTAGGTTCCAGATTTGTCCTAGCTTGCTGACAACCCTTTCCTTTCCTTGGTTGAGCTTGGCATGGCTTTCGCTGAATCCAGATGTTTGAGTGGCAGAAAGTTGGTTCAGTCTTTCAGGTGTTCTTGGTCATTGCTTCCTTTATGTTGCTTGAGAGCTACATATTTGCTCTGGTACTTCCCCAAGAACATGGAGATGGAAGCTTCATGTTCTGTTGCCTTTGTTCCTTAGAACACTCACAGTGAAGGATTACTGGGCTCGTGCTCACTTGATGGCTGTTTTGTGCATCTGGGCAGTTGTTGAGCTGTTCTCTGACCAGCTCTTTGGCAGCCTGGATGTTTCGGCATCTTTGCCTGGTGGAGCTGGCTTGGCTCTGGTTTCAGGCACTGCTTGCTCGGTGTCTGAACCCGGGGCGTTTTCTGCGGCTCTGCCTCTTCCATCAGTTCTTGCCAATCCGGTATGTGGCTGGTTTGATTTACTCCGCTCTTTGGGTTTGGTCTTTTTAATGCGGGTGTATCACCACTTGTATGGTCATCAGGTGGCTTCATTGATGGTGTCCCACCTGTGGTCCTCATCTCGGCGACAGTATGAAGTCTCTTGGCGTTCTTTTCGCCATTTCCTCTCTTTGTAGGTTGTCTTCTATTTCTGTTCGGGTTGTCATGTCCTTTCTTTCTTGGCTCTTTCAGGACCGTCATCTTGTGCCTAATACTGTCACCTCTTATTGTTCAGCACTGGTGGAGCCACTCCAGTTTGCATTCAGGGTGGTTACCTTACCTTGAGGTTACCTTGAGATGATTTCAGGGTTTGGCATCCCCGGGGCCCGGTCCTCGACCAGGCCTCTTAGTTGCTGGACTAGTTAACCAGGCTGTTGGACATGGCTGCTCGCACCCTGATGTATGAGTCACAGCCTGGTTGATCAGGTACCCTTTGGAGGTGCTTATCAAGTTCTCTCTTGAACACTGTGAGGCAGTAGGCCAGTTATGCCCCCTTATGTGTAGTGGAAGTGTGTTGAACAGTCTCGGCTGTCTGATGCTGATAGTACCGAGTACCCATTGCATTATCCACAACAGGGTGGATGTCACTTCTGCCCCTTTCCATAAGCTTTCTCATGCTTTGTTTCACCTCCGGCCTGCTCGTGCACCACCTGAGCCGTGCTGGTCCTTAGACAGTCCTCTCTCTCCTTTTTTCTCCTCGGTTTGTGGTGGTTCCTTCGATTCACAATTGCTTTTAGAAGGCTTTGTTTCTGTTGGCATTGGGCTCTGGGGGTCGGGTTGGTGAGCTTCATGCTCCTCCCTCGCAGAGGTTTCTGCTCTTTCGGTCCTGGTGGAAGTTTTGTTCGGTTGCAGCTATCTCCTTTTCTGGAGAAGAATGAGACGGCAGGCTTCTGGAGGGGACCCTTGGGTTATTGATGCTTGGTTGGTTAGGCCGGAGGTGCATCATGGGTTGTCTGGTTGCGGCCCTGCACAATTTAACCTGCGCGCGTCGCCTTCTGTGGCTGTGTACGAGCTTTGTGTTGATCAGAATTCCCGAGCTCCCTGTTCCAGGGCTCAGGTCTCAGGTTGTCCGCAGAGTTGAGTCTAGCAAGCCTGCAGTCTACCATCGTGCCCATGATATTCGTAAGTACTGTATAGTATGCTGCTTTGGCCACTGTGTTTAGAAACATGTCTTGGGCTGACATTTGTGCACAGGGGTTTTGAGGTCAAACAGGGTCCTGGCCGCCCATTATTTGGTGAATGTTCCTGGTCCCAGTCGTTCATGTGTTGCCTTGGGTCACAGGTTGTAGCCAATTGTCTGGTCTTCGAGTTGAGGCATGCAGTGTGGCCACCTTCCTGGTAAGTCCCTCTTTTTATTTATCTTTGATTATGTAGCTTCAGGGAGCCGAAGGAGCTCTCTATAGAAAACCAGCGTTGAATGTAATGAAATGCCATTTTCTGAGTGAGCCCCGGAAGCTCCCTGGCACCCTCCCTCCCCCCAGTAGGCTGTTTTGTTTTTGATGTTCAGCCTCTGAACTGAGGTGTGAGCAGCCGACGCAGGGGTCCAGGGCTGCCCCTTCCTAGGGAGGGGAGGGCTACGAGGACAAGCGGTGCTGTGTTGGTGAATGACATTTGCTTGTTTACTTGTTTCCTTTGTTTTCTTTTGGGAGTTCTGTCTCTCTGTTCGTTTTTTTTTTCCCCAATTTCCTACCATGTGGGGTTTGCTTTGAGATGCCTACCTTTCTGGGTGTCTAATCCTGGTCGATGGCAGATGGAATATCCCAAATACAAGGGGGGGTTTTCCTAAGGCCATTGCTCCTTGCGCCTCTCTGAGGAGGCCATGTTCTGGCTAGTGGTCCCCAGTAAACAGAACTCCATTGACTGAATCCCCAGACTTGTATAGCATATATCAGTCCGTTAGCTATAGGAAGCTTCCGGGGCTCATCCAGAAAATGGCGTTTCATTACATTGTGCTTTTTTTTGTTTTTTCCTGAGGAGGCTGTGTCTTTAGTTATTTTGGCAACTGCTGCTGCTGCCTTCTAGTCCCTTAGTCAGATTCTTTTGCAGAGAGGTTCTGTCCTGCCTGCTTGAAGATGACTCTGTGAAGTTGGGTCTTTGCCGGCTGATGGTTAGGATAAATCTGCATTGGAGTCCGATTCTCGAACCTTTGCACTTCCTTTGGCTGGGGTTCCTTCTGGTCGATGATGTTTTCATGTGTTGTTGAAAGGTGCCTGTGCTCGGGGTGTTTTTGTGCCGGCCCTTTACATGTGTTTTTGACGGAGCTGGTGGGGGTCATCTGGCTCATGTTGCCAGTACTGTACTCGATCTGGTCTCATGCATTCGTGGGCTTACCAGGGCGTGGTCTTAGCTACGTTGTTCGACTCTGGCATGGCTGAGTTAACAGCCTCTCTTCATTGGGTTTATCAGTTCTTCCTGATCCCCAAGAGGGAACTCTGTGGACCTATGGTACATTCTCGACCTCTTGGGATTGAATAATTTCATTCCTTGCCTAATCTTTTTGCATGACTAGCCTTGATGTTGCGGGCAGATTTGTGGATGGTGTCATTGAACCTCAAGGATGCATTGTGGTACATTTCTATTCACCCGAGTCTCTGGAACTGGTTAGGGTTTCTTTTGGGAAGTCGAGCATACTGCTTCTGGATTCTTCTTTTTGGCTCGAATCTGGATCCTCAGATTTTTTCCAGGTTAATATGGGTATGTGTAACCTGGCTAAGTCTCTTGGGGTTTGTGTCTTCGCCTATCTCAATGACCGGCTGCTTTATGCTCCCAGACAGTCAATGTATAAGCTTTCCATTGATCTGGTTCTATTCCACCTTGCAAGGTTCAGTGCCATGTTCAGATTTGGTTAAGCTTGCTTTGCTCCATATGCAGTGCCATTGCTGTCTGGTGTTGGACCAACCCTGGGTGACTTGGCAGTTGTTGGTTGTTGTGCAGAAGCCTGAACTTTGCCTGAGTAGTGTTTTTTCCTGAGCAGGGTTTGTTTTTTAACATTATACCAATTTCTCTGGTTTTAGCCGTTTCACTACTGCTGGGACCATCAGGCTGAGGCCCTGTTTGTCCTTCATTGGCTCTTTCATCACAGGCTTCATTTTCAGGTTTTTCGAGGTTCAGTTCCATGGCGCCTTCCTTTCCTGACACTCGATGTATTCTCAGATGCCTTGGCTCTAGTTGGGAGTTTTGTGACCAGTGTTAAACAAGCAGGCACACAGCATAGTGCACAAATTTGTGGTGGTATGGCATGTCTTATGGAAAGTTCTCTTTCCTCTTAACTCCATTCTCAAACTCCATTCTGACTATTCCCCAGTGGTTCATTTGCTGAATCGTGAGAAATTACTTCGGTCATCTCAAACCTAAACCCATACAAATCTAAACCAGTGCCTTGAAAAAATAAGCTTGGTAGCACTACAAATATGCTCAAACTGCATACCTCTAGGAAAAGAGATGCAGACTGGAATGAGAATGATGCTTCCTTGATAGATAAAGAAAACGAATCGCAGATAAACTTGAATGCCCCACCCTATCTCAAGAAGGACAAAGAAGGCTATGTAGAGAAATAGAAACGATTGAACTAAAGCTACAAGAATTGTTTAAAATCCAGGAGAAGCAAAGAGAGCAAAGAGCCGTCAGTGACTTAGAGAGAGAAATCTGAACTACTTTATTTCCTATGCAAAATCTAGAACAAAAACTACATCTAGTATTGTGCCCCTGCAAAAGTGAGATGAAACTTTCACAGATGACGACAAAAAAATAAGTGAAATACTGAGGCAACAGTATTATTCTGTTTTCAGTGAGCCCTTAAACACACAGAAGATTGATAATTTAAACAAATTCTTAATGACCGATGCAATATTAAATCATGTTTCAGATGTCACCCTATCCCTACTTGATTTTGAAGTAGCTATAGACAGTATGGCTATGCATTCTGCACCAGGCCATGATTCCAGGAATTCCATATTCATCAAGAATTGTAAATTACCACTTTCACAGATGTTTAGTATATTTTGGAGATGGAGCCTAGATACTGGTGTTATCCCTGACACAATA